AGGGATAGAAAGACAAGGGATAGGATGAAAGAAAAAGAGAGAGGAGAGAAAGAGCAGAGAAAGGAGAGAGGAAAGACAAGAAAGGGTGAGAGTGAAAGAAGGAAGAGAGAGAGGAGGGGGAAGAAAGTACAAAACAGACAAAGAGATAAAGAGAAAGAATAGAGAAAGAGAAAGGATAAATGAGAATATATGAAACAAGTAAGGACAAAGAGAAAGAAAGACAAATCAGAGAGAGAGAGAGAGAGAGAGAGAGAGAGAGAGAGAGAGAGAGAGAGAGAGAGAGAGAGGAAAGATGAGAAGAGAGACCAAGATGCAGAGAAAGAGAGAGAGAAAGGAAAAGAAAGACAGAGAAAAGGAAAAAGGAAGGAAGAGAGAGGAGAGAGTGAGAAGGGAGATAGAAAGAGTGAAAAGCAGAGAGAAAAAGAGAGGGAGGATAAAGAAGGACAAAAGACAGATAAGAATATAAGACAAATAAAGGCAAGGAGAAAGAAAGAGAAAGAGAGAAAGAGACAGAGAGAGAAGAAGGAGAGCAAAATACAGAGAAAGAGAAAAATTGAGCAAAAAAGGAAGAGAAAGGAAAGAGGGGGAGAAAGAAAGAGTGGAAAAACAGAAAGAAAAAAGCAAGAGAACAAGAGGGGGAGAAAGAAAGAGCAAAAAACAGAAAGTCAATAAAAGAAAGAGGATAGAGAAAGAGAAAAGATTGATGAAAATAAGAAACAAATAGTAACAAAAAGAAAGAAAATCAGAGAGAGACAGAAAACAAGAGAGGAGAGAGGGTGAGAAACAAAGAGTGAAAGAGAAGATATAGAAAGACAAAAAGATAGATGGATAAGGAACAAATAATGACAAGTAAAAGAAAGAAAAAAGACAGTGACAAAGAGAGAAAGAAGTAAGAAAGAGCAAAAAAACAGAATAATAGACAGAAAAAGAGACAACACAGAAGAAAACAGAGAACAAGGAGAAAGAAAGAGAAATCAGAGAGAGAGAGAGAGAGAGAGAGAGAGAGAGAGAGAGAGAGAGAGAGAGCTATATTTCTATTGAAAAGGGAGGGGACGTGCTGGGCGCCTGTGTGATGTGTCAGATGAAAGAAACTCTTAAATATACAGTAAAAGAGAAACGACAAATCAAACAGGATGAAAAAGGGCTGCGTCTGGTGTTTATGACCGACATGTTTTAGCTTGAGTTGATTATAGAGCCGAAACACGCTCGTATCAACACGAGCAGCAGAAGAGCGTGTGGCTTACGTAACTGATTATGCTAAGGCTGCTACTGGAAGAAGAAGAAGGAGGAGAACAGCATCCCTTTTTATCTGCTGATGTAAGGTTGAGCTCAATTAGAAAAGACAACAACAAAGAGAATTTAAACTCATTCCATACATTTGAAGTCTGCCTTCAGAGAGAGGGCCGCGCTTGTTAAATCGAAACAATTTTGGTCGGAGTGCATGCATTATTGACAATGTCCAAGCATTACGAGCGTTAGGAGCTTTGTATCTCCAGACGCGGCCTGCGTGTCCGAGCGCAGCCAGAAACGGTATCAGTCAGAGCCGACTTGCTTGAATTTCTTATTATTAGACACGCCGGCGCTGTTGTTCATCTCGCCCTCTGACAACAAGCTCATCGCTGATCATCCATATTATACTTTACGACATGCTTTCATTCCCATCCCTGGGTTTTATGCTCCTTTTTATGAGCATATTATAGTGCATTAAAACAATGCCTCCGCACGCCAGGAAGATTTACTTCCCTTTGTTTAATCTATGTTCTCCTTTAATACCCCCCCATACCACCACCTATTCCACCAGGCTTGCCAAGATAACCCACACTATTGTGGAATTAGTCTCTCTTTTCTTCACTAATGCTGAAGGAAATGAATGTGTGATTCCAGAAATAATCAGACGAAATTAGCCGCGGTGGGGGCCGCTTCGCCTGCCGCCGGGCGCCGGCCCAACATCTTCCTTCTGGCTCACTTTCTCACCCCCCCACCCCTTATCTGTACATGTACAATGGTCAGGATTAGTCGCAGGGCTGGACTCTGCGCCCTGTCTCTATTAACAGTCACCCCCAGCTTTGCCCTATCAATTCAATGGGCTTTTGTGTATCATAACACGCTGTAATACATCACCGGGTTGCCAAGATTGAGAGAAAACATTAGCTTTAGTTGAATAGTTCTGTGACCAGGGGTGTGACGATACACACAGTTCACGATATGATACCTTCTGTGTTTATTTTTGATACAGAAATAAAAAAAAAAAAATGCTAATAAAACTTATTGTTTTGGTCTAATCTCCAAAACATAATCTTGTGAAAGCAGAACTAACCCAAAGAGGTGATTAATTAAGAAGATAAATGATTACATAAAAAGTGTGAATGGTTTCAGGGCAGCTGGAGTTGTCTCTTCCTCTATTTCAAACGTAAAAGTCAAAATTTTGACTTTATATCTCAAAATTCTGACTTATTTTTAATATTTGTCTAGAAATGATGTTACTTTCTCATAACCTTTACTAGTATCTCAAAACAATGACATTTTTTTCAAAATCTTGACAATTGTTTGACATGCTTAAAAAAGGCAGTTCTTCAAGGGTTCTTTAGTAAAGAATATGGTTCTATATAGAACCATGAACACTCAAAGAAACCTTTGCATGATTAAAGGGTTCTTTGCATGGTGAAATCGTTCTTCAGATTGATGGAGAATATGCTGTAGATAGTTCTATGTAGCATGTTTTTGAAAAGGGTTCTATATAGCATCAAAAAGGTTTTGCTATTGTTACAAGCTTGAGGAACCATTTTGGTGCTATGTAGAACCCTTTTCAAAACGATTCTATGTAGCACCATCTTCAGCACATGCTCCATCAATCTGATTTCACCATGCAAAGAACCCTTTAATCATGCAAAGGTTTCTTTGAGTGTTCATGCTTCTATATAGGACCATTTTCTTTACTAAAGAACCCCTGAAGAACCATCTATTTTAAGGGTGTAGCATTTAGAAAAAAAAAAAAAAAAGAAATTCTGACTTGTATTCTCAACAATAATGAGTCAATAAAGTAATTATTTTGTAAAAATAAGTCATTGTTTTGAGATGATAAGTCAATATTTTGACATAACTCTACCAGAAACACAGGAAAAATAGCTTTTTCTCCTCTACATGGCAAGTATGAGCCTCCATTCTTCTCATAGAACTTATGTCAGTATGTCAAACATCGCAAACATTTTTATAGCATAAAATCTAATTGTATGTGATTCACAGAGCATACTGTCTCACAAACAAACAGAAACATTTTAATATATGTATCACAACACCCTTCTTCAGTAATATTATTACAGCTATTATGAGAAGCATCATGGTAATGCACAGTGTTGTTGTAATGTTGCTTCGTGACCTTGTACAGGTGTGGACGGACAGAAAACAGCCTCGGGGCTGCTCAGGTTAGAAAATGTAATTTTCGAGTCTGCGTGAACGCAGTGATGCTCTCGCGCATATGAATAAATAACCTTTGGTCCAGCCGCACAATGCATCTTCATTTCCGGACGTAAATAAGGCTCTGCTTGATGGCTGGAGTGAGATTCATTCTTGTTTTGCCTTTAAGCCAACATTCATCTCCTTTCATCTGCTCTCTTATTAATAACTGTGTGTGTGTGTGTGTGTGTGTGTGTGTGTGTGTGTGTATGTGTATGTGTGGGTGGTGACAAGGACACACTATATTGTCTCAAAGTCACAAAGAGAAACACAGTGTGGCATAAAACACTTCAACAATGAAAGAAGTAGCTGTTTAAAATACAGTCGATGTGTAAAATGTAAATACCTTCTTAACATGTATCTTGAAATGATAAGTTATTTTTACTAACAATGTATATTAGTATCTCAAAACAATGGCATTTTCTCAAAATCTTGACTCAACTGTTTGACTTACACAATGGAAAAGATGGTTCTCATTCATTAGTTATTCGTATTGAGGGAGAATGTGCTGAAGATGATGCTACATAGCACCTTTTTGAAAAGGGTTCAATATAGCACCAAAAGCGTCCCTCTATTGTTATGAAGGCAAGCTTGTTACAATAGCAGAACCCTTTTTGGTGCTATATAGAACCATATACAGCACATTTACCATCAATTTGAAGAACCATTTCACGATGCAAAGAATGCTTTAAGCATGCTAGTGGTTCTTTAAGTGTTCATGGTTCTGTATAGAACCTTGAAGAACTTTTTTTTTAAGTGTGTAGCATTTAGAATCTTTACATTTATCTTGACATAATAAGTTATTTTCTCAAAATTTTGAATGGCATCTCAAAACAATGACTTATTTCCTAAAAATATTGACTTAATATGTCAAAACAACAACTGAAGAAAAAATGGCAAGATAAATTAGAAACACCGCATGAAATATTAATCGGCCATTTTATCAGAAACATATACCTTATAGGTGCGCATTGTAGATTTACAGTTACCGACTGCAGCCCATCTATCACATTCATCAGCCTCCCCCTCACTGCAGTGCAGAGAGTGGTCCACCACCCAAATAATATCTAATGCTGGTCCTATTAGTCACTTTCCAAAGATGAATGAGGCAGAGCAGGGACTGATAAATTGTGCAGTTACAGTCTGTAACTGTACAACTTTGCTGTGTGCCTATATGGTCAATGTTATGACTAAATGGCTGATGAGTATTTGTGGTGGTCTTTTTAATGAAGGCCAACTGCTGCCTGCTTCCCTACAGCACTTTCAGTCTGTATGTTAAAGTGGAAAACATAAAAGAGATTTTGTTTCCCATTTTCTGTCTCAAAGTAATCAGATAAAGCCCATTACAGTCAACTGCAAACTTGTTTGTCCTCTTATTCCATTTCCCCCTCCCTGATCTTTGTTTTTCCAGCAGATGGCTAATCGGGGAAAACGTGTGGCTATCAAAATACACAATAAAGCAGTCTAGCATGTAAAGTCCACCTCTCAGCCTGTCCCCGAAGGGCAAATCCAACTCGCCTCTCGCCAAACGTAACACGGCAACTTACCACATAAAACCAGAACGGGCCGTCACAGTCGCTCTAGCATGGGGGCGAGAGTCCACAGCCATGGCCTGGAAGGGAGAGAGAGGGAGAGAGAGAGTCAGAGTCCCAGTCAAACTGCATTAGAGCTCACTTCATTAGCGGCGGATGGCTTTTTATTTTTTTCGCAGGAAGTCCTTCGTGTTTGTCTTTGCTCCGGTGCAATTGAGCTAAAGACGGCGTGTTTACTTGCCCCCTCACTCATGAGGCTCATTCATTAGTCTCTGAGCTCTAACCCTCGGCCATGTCAACAAGAAGGGCAGCAGCAGAGTGGTGCTAACGCTGAAAACACTGTTACACACATAGTCTTTCACAGAGCTCACTGACACTCAAAGGTTTGGGAACATCTAGCTTTACATTTACACATAACTTTCATTTTACTTTCATAGTACTAATTCTTATCATTCTGAATAATAAGCCTGAATAGCTGAATAATAAGACTGCAGTTTAAGGGGCTTTAACATAGCATTAACATATTATCATCAGGACAAAGCCATGCAACTATACACAATATGAAGGGCAGCTGGCATTTTTAAACAATATTATAGAGTGAGTTCTGACTAATTTTAATATTCAAGTGTCTGATTTTATTTGATTTACTGCAAGGAAGAAAGCAAACAACAACTATGGATGAATATAACGTAGAGCTGTAGTGACATTTCTAGGTAATGGCATGGTGTAGGGGGCTAACACACTGGTAGAATGGATACATTTGAAATCTTTTATTATTCAAAAACAGTCAAAGGAAATTGGCAGGTTTTTGTAACAAAGGAGTCGCAGAGACTGCCTGTTCAGATGAACTAATGAGCTAACACTACAGCTAACTGGTGCAATGTTCAATGCGGATGGAGATTTGTCATCTTCTACATGAGATCTTTCCTCCTCAGTGGATGACATTCCAACATGTTAGTTTGTCAGAGAAACCTATTTTCACTCTTCTGGACCTGGCTGACATCTGCTAGAGTAGTTAGCCTAGTTAGCAGCAGTGCAAAGTAGAATATAATATAATAGACTTAATTATATTTAAGGAAGCACAGAAATGTTGGCCACTGAAAAATTTTGTTCAGGAAAGGCCGAAAATGGTGCTTTCAGTTTTTAGTAGAAAGAAAAAAACAAACAGAAAAAAAGATAAATAAAAAAATGAGAAAAAGATTAAAAAGGCCTAAGACAAAGTGTCAAAGGCTTTATAAATACTTGACAATTAATGGATACTGAAAATAAGAAATTGTACGGAGCCCTTCTGGTGACATTCCATATAAATAAAAATAATGCATGACCACAACTTAGTAAGGTGTGGGAACGAAATAATTAATTCACGGCCACAACTTAACTGTAATAATTAAGTTGCGACCACGACTTAACTCACTTATCTCATTCCCACATCTTACTAAGTCATGGCCATTACTTAATTATTTCTTTCCCACACCTCACTAAGTTGTGACCACACATTATTTTTTGTTTATAGGTTTTGTGATTACAAACAATGTTTGCTTCCTTCATTCTCATGTTGCTTAAGCATTTACTAGTGCAAGAAAAGCAGTAAAAAGAAGGGTTTTTGGTTCAGCCTGCTTTGTCCTGGTTCTCTCTCATTATAACAGCACACCCACTCAAGCATGACATGTTAGACGCACAGGAGCAAAGGAAGAACATGGGAGGTGGGGGTGGTGGGGGGTTGTATGAAAGGGACTGTGGACACCGAAAATAGATCAGAACAACAGTAGCCGGTGCTTTCAGGTCAAAAATGAGCAGATTTGTCCCGCGGGGCGCTTTTCTTTCTGTTCTTTGGTTACACTTTTTATAAATTTACAGACATGGAGAGTTGGAGGAGCTGATATTAGAATTCAGATTTCAGAAGGGCAAAGCTGCAAAGTTCTGGGACGTATAAAGGCATCCCAAATGCCAGCCGAGCTGCTTCAATATTAGTTCCGCCATTATTGCTTATGCCTCGGTGCATTATGTTCCAGCATCGTGCTGCGTGAGAAATGAACGCATGCAGACCAAACAAACAAAATGGACAAATGGGTCTAAAGTTCAAACATCTCCACTCACAGTGCAGGATTTTTTCCCAACTAAACACACCTAGCAGATGGGTTTGTGTTCCTGTTTTTTCCCAAAAATGCACCCTGTGCTGAAGACACGAGGGAATGATGACAGATTACAAAATATGAAAATACTCCCTGAAATGTTAGAATAAAAGAAGGTATTTTGAGTTTTGTCACTGCATGCATTTCTTATGAGAGTATACATCTGAGGCTGGCCTGCACAAATGAGCCCAGGTGAGTTTAAAGTGAAAAGGCTGGCGAAAAACAGATTCACACTATTTCACTCCTTACTAAAAAGTACTTGATCAACCAAGACACGTGTAATGGAACTACAAGGCTAATACAGCTAACAAGTAATGGAAGCTTATTCTCCACCAATTAGCACCGTCCTAACAGTGTGCCTAACCACAGAAACACTTAAAACACTCACCTCAAACTGTGTTGTTTGTTTAATCTCCAATATAGCAGCAACAACATAGCATTTCAGGCTTCAAGATGGCTGCTACTGCTGTTCAGCCATGTATCATGCTTCTGTCTTTTTTAAAGATACCAGCAGGTGAAAGTGAAGCACAATCAATCACATTTTGGATTTTGCTACATAATTTGGTAACACTTTATTTGAGTGGTCCTTTGTAGATGATTAATAAACTCTTTACAGATTATCAGTAACGTATCAACAACATATCAGTGAAGTAGCAGTAGTGAAGCATCTGAACACACTGAAGTAAATAGCTTGTAGATGTTCTGTTGATACATTGCTTACATTAAGTAGATGTATTGTTAATATATTACTTCCATTACGCAAAACCTAACCTTACCCAACCTTACCAAAATCCTAACTCTAACCCTGGCCCTAATCCTAACCCCTAACCTTAACCCAAAACCTAATCCTAACCCTCATATGTTTTTGACATGTTATTGAGAGTCTGTTGAGTGTATGTTTAATCTAAAAAAGACCATTTAAAATAAAGTGTCACCCATAAGTTCAACAAGGACACAGTGTCATTGATGCAAAGCACTGCTCTAATGAAGCATCAAAGATATTTGATTGCAAATATGCTCCCTTTTGGAGAAATTCTGACCTGCTTAACATGAGTGAGTGAGTGAGTTACAAGCCAAATCCATGAGGTGCTTTACAGCTAAAAATATTTGAGCATTGTTAATTGTAACAGTCTGTGGAGCTAGCTATAATATATGCTATACAAATCTAAATAAAATGATGAACCCATTTAATCCATGGTAATTCTGTGTTGTTTGAAACAAATAAGCTGTCAAATAGCTTATCATATCAATGAAATATATTTTATTTAAATGACATTTAAAAAGTTTCCAGCCTTTGTAAGAAGATGAATTTACTGTGCAATTTTTCATGATTCTCTTATGTTAAATCTTGTACATCATGTACTGTATTATATAATGTTTACTGTGTATGTATTATATTGTATATTTATGTGTATTGTGCTTGAATTGCATCTTGTTGCACTGGAAACAGTTGCCACCAACATGTCGTTTGGCAATAAAATGATTCAATCAATCAAGTTTTAAAAGTTGAAATAGCAGGCTCCAAAAAAGAACTATTTTGAATTTACAAAGAAGGGTCTGCATTTTTTCATTGTTTACTTACCATTGCGATAAACTAAGCCTGCTGTGTGGAGGCCGTACTTAAGCTTGGCTAACTCATTGTGAGTTGTTCATATGGACAACTTTGTAGGTGATTGAAATAATATAAATGTAAATTCTGTGACTTAAACTCACAACTCAGTATTTAAAAAAGCACCTAGAATGAAAAAATAATAATAATAATAAAAAATGTTACCTTTATGGCGAATCTCAAGCAATATTTTCCTGAGGGATTTGCAAATTCACTGATGAAGGTAAATTCTACCTTGACCTTTGACCTCTTTAACCTATTTATGTGTATAAAAATTATATATTATATTTTATACCAGTGCTTGTGTTTTATAGTTTGTCAAGCCAGTAACTCACTGACAGTTTACTGGGGTGAATTAAACATTTCCCAAACACACTTTTATTCTGTACTTTACAGAATAATGTTGTGCACTAGGTCTATAACATACATATGACCTCTGTTCTAAAGCAAAGATCTAACATGCTTTTTGAGGTTTGCATTGATGTGAATTGTTGTCTTTGTTAATCTAACTTAAAATTTTGATGTCTATTTTTTTCATTTAAGTACTTAAATAAAACCAGTTAAATGACTTTTTTAGGTTAAATGGACTATTTTTACAGTGTATTATATCGTCACTGATTTTTCATGATTTGTATTTTTCTACATTATTTTAATCTACATAGGTCCATAATTGATGGGAAGCTTCAACTGCTTGTTAGTTAGCCTCACAGCTCCAGCGCTAAAGAAGCAAACATCAGACCCCAGACATGTCTTGATTGACTACATTTGTTGTAAAATGGAAAAAATGTTTATTTATTTATTTATTTAGCCAAAAGAGGTCATTAAACACCAACCCTGACAGAAACAAAACAATGTGATTGTTGTTGTTGACCGTATTTTAGCACAGTCGACCCGCAGCCAGTTCGACTTTCAGCTAATGGCAAAACTCCAGCACCTTCTGCTCCGCCTTTAGTGCTCCAGTGGTTCTTTGTCAACATTCCTCCGCCAGACGCAGCTTTCCTCAGGCGTGTATCACAGGAGGAACTCTGCACTCTCATTAGAGATAAACTGTTTTGAGTAAGTGACAGTGATCTGCCTATTGATCTGCTCTTTCAGTGATTGTGGCTGGCAGGTTTAGTCTCTCTTCATATTCCCCTCCCAGACATGAACGTCTCTGTGGCTTCCGCGCCTCACACTCGAAACTTGAAGAACAAAAAAAAAGCTGTAGTTAGCAGAAGGAGGAAAAAAAATCCCACCAGCCTTTTTCCGTCTACCCAGAAAATAAAGAGGGGAGTGTATTCTGACAGTGGTGGTGAGGAGACGATACGAACTTGCGCGTTTGTTTTTGTGTTCTCTCCCA